TGGATTTCTTTCGACTCAAAATCAACCCGAAATCAATGACTCAAAGCAGATTGAGGAATTTACTACTTTTTAATCATAACTGCAGTTATGAAACAACATGATGTTTCAGTTGGGATTAAAAAATTTAATTTTGAATGATAAGACAACCTTCAATGCAATCAAATTTTGTTTCATTAACATTTGATCCCCGAAGTTTTTTCGAGTTCAGTATCATTTCTATGCCGTATAGCAAGTTGATAATCGTGTGTTAGGTGTTCGGTTCGAAAGCAATGATGGGGAAACGTTATTGAAACAAATTGCGTTGTAATACCAAACTTGGTCTAGAATATTTATGTCAATTAAATAAAAAAATTATTCATTAAAAGTTATGGTTTCAGAAACTAACTTCTGCGGCTTAGCCAGGATGAAGAAAAATGTTTCTGCTTGGATGGAACACTTTTACGATGGAAATATGAAATTTTTGAATTAACCATGTTTTAGGAACAAATACCGATTTGGAATTTAAAAAAATTCAAATTGAATGCAAAAAAATAAAACGTATAACTCAATTCCAAACATTGCTTTTCAATTACGATAGAGTTGCTTCAGGACACATTCTCAATTTTGATAATAAAGTAAAATGGTCTTTTATTGCAACAAAGTCGAGTAGATTTCTTTGAATGATAGTATTCGCGAAGAGTTTGAAAAAAAAATTGGTAATAAAAACTGTTTTTCTTCTCTATCGGATAAAATCACAAAGTCTTCTGTTATTCTAATGCCAAAGATTTCCATCTTTCAATTGTAGTTGTCAACTTGTCAGAACTATGGTCGATATGTCTTCGGCGAGTAGACTTTTTGGTGCCACAAAAATAACTTTGTAACAAGAGGTTATTCCTTATTTGGTTGGCTCGGAAAAATTTTATATTCATTTTTTTATGTTGTAAATAATTTTTCTATGGAAAAATCAAAGAAGGAAGAAGGAAAAACGAGTCACGTTTATCCATTTCCTTGAAAACATTGAAATTAAAATTAAAACGAAAAAACAATCACTCAATGCATTCAGAATTAAAAACTCATTTGCATTTGAAAAACATAACTGAGCCAAATAAAAAAGAATGCCATGTAATATTTTATCGAAATTCTTGAAAAACCAAATTCCAAAAATCAAAAAATCAAACGGACTTAAGCGACGGGGCTCAGATAAACTAAATGACGAGAAACGAGCGAAACACAAAACTCGAAGTAAATAGACACACCACTGTGCCGTTGCCATCATTGCGTGCTATAGTTATCCGACGTTCACCTTCTATCCCTATATACCATACGCCATGTATCGTCGTACTAATATTGTTCGCCACACCCATTTCGTAATGGAAGCGTTCGCTCTGACATGAATGTATGAAGTATGTACTGTTCGACTGCTGTTGCTGCTTGTTATATGTATATAGCCGACGCAGGGCAGCGCCACTGCAGCCAATTTGAAATCGAGTATGATGCGAATGAAAATTTAAACACGTAAACAGGAAAAATATTCCTGAATTCCGGTTAAATAATCGACAGTTGAATATTATTTTTCGTATTAGATTGACAAGCTACTGAATATTGCGTTGTCACGAAAGCCGAAATGCATTTGTGTTGCATTTAATTTGAAAATATATTTAAATATAAATTTCAGGTTGCACATTCATTAAGAGCATTAGAAATATGTTGAAGCACATTTCATTATGAATTCTAGGAAAAGTTGTAATTGTCTTCCACAGCAAAAATACCAGAACACGTCTGATAATTTACATCTGGATGTGGTGACGGCACGAGTGTAAATAACAATTTGAAATGAAAGTCATACGGCAATTGCTGTCATCGTATAAAGTGTCAGGACGGCTGGAAGAGATAAGAATTACAATGTATTTATAATTCTCACTTCAATAAACATGAGACTTGTTTGTTTGATTTATAGCGTGCTTTGATTCTAGTCTTGTACACATACGACGGTCTCAATAGACTGGAAGTCATTGCTGATAAATAAATAGCACCACCACCGACGACAACGACGATGTCGAGAATATTCGGAGTACATATAGAAGAAAAAAAACGGTTTTTGTCGGCTCCCGTTTCAGTATTGTCTTCAATTCAAAAGAAAAGTTAAACATCCGAATATATTGACTCTTGCACTTATAAAAAACTATCATGCTTGAGATCAACTGCTGTGAAGAAATATTTGTTTAATGAAATTGGTTAAAACGGATTTTATGGCTGTGCTGCAACGAACCACTGCTGATAAAGAAAAACAACCGAAACAAGTTTTCGAAAACTATTTTGCTTTGTGCCCTGTGCACAATTCGATATGCTCCCATTTCACAAAAGAATGTATAACAAAAAAAAGGGTTTTCTCTTCTTTTTCTTTACTCTTTTATGATTTTATTGCGGTATTCTGCAGAAAATGCTGTCCTCTTGCCTGCGTAACAAAGCGTAATATGCCGACAGCCATAAATAAAAGGAAAGCAAATATTTCTTCTTCTTCTTAACAACGAATATGTGGTGCATTTAAAAGCATTTTGGTTTTTTTTTGCATTCGTTCATGTTCACTTCGTGTTTTTTTCTGCTAGTCTTGTATCACTTTAATCAGACAAAGGAAATGCTCGAGCTGTGTGTTTCAAACGTGCTGCTGCTGCTGCTTTGCACGCTAAACAATACGCTCAAGAATTTATTGTAGCTGTAAATTCTATTCAAAAGATATTCCTATGTAAATATTTTGGTTTACAAATTGGCTCATTCCAACGAAGTGTTCAAACATTCCAAAAATACGAAACAATTTTGAAAATCGCTTCGACGCTTGTCCTTGCATAATTTATAACTGTACTTTGTTAAGGCATCAGGCTGAATTGTCTTTCGCAGAAACAAACTGTGCTTTGGAAATGCCATTGTTCAAATGTTTTCGTAGCATAAATCCACATGAGATGGAGATGCTACGTCAAATTTGTTTGAGAAAAAAAATGGAATCGTTTGCATTGGAGTTCAAGTTGAAGCTACACGAAATGGACTTGAATCTTTCTTTTCTCAAACAACATCATCGCAGAATGGGTAACATTTTTGTATCTACAAGTACTAAATAGAATTAAATAAAAGATGCACTCAGCACAAAATATACAAAATATATTATTTAACATTTTTCAGTTGAACCCGTACCGAATCAATTCAATCGAAACTGGCATTTGGAAAAACCAAAACAAGAATACAAATCAAACGTAATGTTTGGCTTGTTTGAATGTAAACCACAATTTAATTTGTCTAATAAACTGTACTCACATTCTTATCGATTGTAATCGACACAGACGTTTAACAATAACTTTAATTGAATACTTTTTCTTCCACCACTTGAAAAGAGATAAAATACAATCAATTTCTTTGAATATGCAATGAGACTCAATTGATTGGATAGCAATATATGTTGGCCAATTAAAATGAGCGCTCAACATCACATTTAACACTAACTGTTAATTACACGCGTCAATCAGTTTCGCTGCGAAGAAAAAACGGATAGTACAAATGTCAAGGATTGACACAACGCGCACGAACGGATTTGATGAAATTTTCTTGAGCTACTGCGACGATCAACTAAAAGTCGAATATTATTTTTTCGAACCATTCAAAAAATATATATTTCTGATGAGAGAGAATCAAAAATCTCTGCGTGTCTGATTAAGATAATAAAAAAGTAATAACAGACGGTTCCGAATGAGCGTAGTGTGTAGTGAATTCCGCGCTAAAAAGCATCAACAAAACATAAGATCCAAATGAATGGCAAATGAAAAATGACAACACTTTGTGAGGAACACAACGAGAGACGGCCATAGGCAAATATAGCGTGATTATTGAAGCGCATTCACATTTGGTATGTGTGACTCCCACTTTGTTCTTCGAAAAAAAGATTCATTCGATCGCCATATACATATGCATGAAAATTAATTCGACGGCACTCGAATAAATAATAAATTAATAGGCATATTAGTAATCATTTTCCAATAAACTTTGCTACAATGTTGCGGCTAATGTATTCTAAAGTTCCACCACTATTGGATCTGTCAATACAATTTGTTTCATTTTTTTTAAAAATAATATATGTTTTCGAGTATTAAATTGAATTTAGAACGCAATTCCATCGAAGAGACAATGAACTCTATTCGCTTTGAATGAGGCTAGAAACGTCTCTTGTCGTTCCCGCTTATTTATTTTATTCAAGTTCCTAAGCCAATCCACATGGAGATAAGCACCGGATTTATAGATGATTGAGGAGCACATTTCAGGTTAAAAACCAAAATGTCATTGAACGCGAACGGACAAAAATGTGGTGAATCAACGAAAATAATTCCAATCGGAAACATCAAGCCTCAATAAATTGAATTAGTTTAAATGAACAAACAAAAGTCACATTTCTTGTGAGATAACTCAAACATTTGGAATTTGTTAGCTAGCTGGTTGAGCAATATTTGTTTTATTCAAATGAAATTCATCGCGATTCAATTCGAAATTGGAATTTGAACTAGAGTTTATGCTACACAAATTCAATAAAGCATGGCGGGCACATATTGCGACGCTCATTCAATTCGATTTACTTATAATGGTCGCGACGATTTCCGTCTTATCTCAATCTCAGCTTGAATCCACTTTGGTTAAACGTGAAACAAAGATAATTAAGGAAAAAACCTAATGAAATTCGTTCAAGAATTGGTATTTTGTGGGCGTGGTAAAGCCCAAACTGGATTTCGATAAAATCGCCTTCATGCATGAATTGATCTACAAAAATCATCGATATCTACCAGAAACAATCAAGCGAATAACGAAACAAGAAAAAAAAACAAAAAAATGAATTCGGAATAAAACTTACTTTGATTGAATGGAAAAATTATCACGAAACAGAAAAAAAACACATACACAATTAAAATCTCACACGTCCAATTCAAAAAATGATGAATTTAATTTGGTGTATGTATAACCACCGACAAAAAAATCAATAGAAATACCTTTTTGTTTGCTATTAACACTGAGTCAATGTTCTGTTCATAATGTTCAACAGTGTCACGAAAGTGTGTTTGGATGATTACGTGAGCTGCAGTTGTTCAGTTTTCAAATAGGAAACGGCGTTAGAATCTCAACCAATGAAATGTCAAAACAGAAGCTTAACATTACACAAAATGCAAGCAATACAAACAACAATTTCCGCTAAACATCGTCTTCACACAGAATTTCTTTCACACTGTTTATCACTTTTGATTTATCACTGTGTCAATTTTAATGATTTTGATTAAATATTTAAATTACGGCACGAGAGCAAATTAATTAAACGCCTTGAGAGACTGGAGCGAAGCGCCAAAGTAAATATTTGGTTGTGTGTAGTGAAAAGCGTGACGTTGGCTACACGGTGCCGATATAATAATTGGCATGTCGACCACATCAAAATGCAATTGCAGGAAAAAAATTGAGATGCTATCAGAGCGAAAAGACTTCTGATAGAAAACTGTCGAAAAATTGTTTATTGTACTACTGCACTCTGAATCTCTTGATATTTATTTGACTTTTTGTTGGTGTGTTGCTGTTTGTTGTTGTTGGCCGTTTTCCTATTTCTTCTTCTTCTTTTTCGGTGCTTTTCGGTCGTCTCTTTTTATTCCTTTTTTACTTTGCCATTTGGCCATCAAAGTGGGTACAAACTACACGACGAACATGTAATGTGTTTTCCCGAATATACAACACACTCTGCATTGCATGAATGAAGTACGCAAATGTATGCGTTTTGCTTCGGTTCGGTTTCGTTGGTGTTTGTATATATGTTTCGGGGCATATGCCGTTAGGAGCGAGAAGCGAGCGCGACATGACGAGCTGTGTGTGTGAGAGAGAAAAAGAGTCGGTGTTAATCGGGTGGTGTGTGTGCGTGAATGTCTATGTGTCAAATTAAATAAAAGCATAGATCATAAAGAGAGCAAATGTACGTACGTCGTCTTTCGGTTGGTATACATAAACATAAAAATCGTGTGTGCCCTCTGCACATAAAAAATTATGTGTATTTCGCATAGATGCGCGCGCGATTGTTCGCCTCACCGAACACCATTCACATCTTGGGAAAATACATCCTATTTTTCTTCCAACTCTCTATGTACTACAACTCACCCAGCACTCTCTCTCTCTCTCTCTCATTCGGTGTGTCGCTCGTATGATGGCTGCACGATGGCAATATGATACATGGTCCAATCTATGTCCTGAGACATATTCTTTGTGCCGTGTGCAATACTGTTTGTTTAAACCCCGTCGCTGTCTGTCGCTCTCGTTCTCGCTCTAGCAAAGTATATACACGATTTTATGTTTAATTCGATCTCTCCTTTTTCTTCTTCCTCCTCCTCTGCATTCGATACAGTGTTGCTCTTTTTTTGGGCCCCGGTACATTTTTATTTTATTACTATTACTATGATTGCAACCATGAATACAACTAAATCGAAAAAAATATGCAGCTCATAGATTACCATTCGCAATTTTGAATTGGATATCGAGAGAGAGACTGGAATATATCGTATCAAAAAGGATATGAATCTTCCTATATGGTTTCCATTATTTTAAAAATGCACGACTCATCATTTCCCTCCTTTTGCTCTGCTTGCCGCCCTAGGTGATGCGAATTTGAATTGTGTTTCGGAGCTATGACAAGCCAACTGTATCTATTTATTTATAAGCGAACTTTTATTTTAGATGGGATTCAAGTTCAAAAACCTTAATTTTTATCTAGCCGAAAATACTCACGAGAATGAAAACGAAAGAAGTTGTCGGCATTTATGATCACTTAAGAAGAGGGTGACTTATCAAACGAACGGAATGCGATTCAGTAGTGTAGATGACACAGTCTAAATACTTGAAGAAACAGTGTTTCGCTTAAGCCGATAAGAAAGCGCTGAGTTTTCCATTCCTTTCATCTCATCCACTTTATATTCTTAAGCGTTGCAAGAAATACCGAGTCTAATATAAGACATGACATTAAATCGACGAGAAGAAGAAAAAAAACACAAAAATATGTACCGTAAAACGTGCAGAGGCGTTACCAAAATAAATCTATCTGTCTATGTATTCTGTTTAAAAGAGAATTTTTCTCTTTTTTCCTTTCTCTCACCGTGTAATAGCTTTAAGTAAGAGAGCCCGGCCAGGAGAAGCAAAAACCAAGACGGTAATGTACATGGAAAGTCATTACGGAGCACTTATGGGAAAACTAACATCGTTCGATATTATTTATTTACTCTTGGAGATTACTTGACGCTAATTGAAATTCTCTCTCGTCGCGGCAGCCGCCGGTTGTTATGGTAAACTTTGTGTTCGAAACACGTTCAAAAGCTGAAAAGTAACCACGAATGAGCTTCTTGTATTTTTTTTTCTTCTTCAAGATGTTACCACGTCATTTTCTGATAAAATCTACGCATTCTGAACACGATATTTTCAAAATTCGTCATTGATTGAGAAAAAATTTCAACAGCACACAAAAATATAGATGAAGAGGGAGAGTTTTTAAATCAATATATTCATGGATATTATTTCTTTCGTTGAATAAGGAAACATCAAACGATATGATTTGGGTATTGTGCGCCATTGAGCATGTGTACAACGGGATCCGATTGCTTATGTACTGTTTATACATGATATCAAAACAGAGACCGACTCAAATTCTCTTATTTACTCTAGTCGCAATCAAAGGGAGCGCTTTCACATTGGAAATTATGTCATAAAATAACTTTGATCCTACCACTGCCTCGTCGAGGAAGGGATAATGCTGTACACATAAAATGTATTCAAATAAGAAAAGTTTTGAGTAATTTTGCTGTATGAGATGTGGGGCTCAAGTGTTCTGTGCTCTTTTTGCTCATATCTTGATTTCAAGCTGGTAAAATGGATCATTGTCGAATGTATTAAATATACCAAAATACCAGCTATATGCCATACCAATTAATTCTACTTACCAATTATTTTCGCGTTGAAGTCATACCACGGGATTTTTGCGTCAGCGAAATAATTACACTCGAACATTCGGAAATGTTAATCTATCAATTAAGCTGGATTCATGAGCATCAAAAGCACTGCAATGTGATTTGCGGTGGAAGAATACCGAAGGGAGAGAATGAGGCGGTTTGTTTTGTAAACAAGTGCTCATTCGTGAGTACATGTTCTATATCAACCATTGAATATTGTTCAACTATAGTTGATCCACTACATTTGTTTGTTTGTTTTCGAACAGTTTCATTTCTTGGACGAAGTCATGTGTCTTGATGACCTTTTGTTATGTATTCCCCTTGTATATGTTCGCGAGTTGCGGCATTCTAGCAAAAGATGTCTCTATTACGGATACTGTTCGAGGGTGAGTAAAGTTGATTTTATTTTTCGATCATTTGTCCCGTACGACAGCTTGCCACGCTCTTTTTCAACGTCCGTGTTTTCGGCTTCATACTTACGCTTAGCGCTTTTGAAGTTTCGCGTCCCTTTTTTTACTGCCGACAACCGACATACTTCAGTCGACTGACCGTACGGTCTTTTTTGTTCATGTGAAACGGATATACGGAAAGTAGACTGACTTCGTGAATGTTGATTTTTGAAGGGGTCGATTGCCCGACTTTTTGCTATTACATTGAAAGCGACGTCATTACATCGATAGCATTGTAAAGAAAGCAATGGGAGCATACAAATAATAGGAAAACAATGATGTTCGTTTGAATAGAGATTATTTCGCATTGGCTGATTACAGTTAATCAAAGCGGTTCATTAAGCCACGTGATATGAGTGTGTTAGCTTTTATTCGAGAACGAAGCAAGTTAATTCGTTGAAACAAAGTTGTTTAAGTTACTTACCAATAACAATGGGCTGGGGCAACGGTTTCACATTTTCCCCAATGAAATGAAACTACAGATTCACATACACGACGTTACCTATGCATGTGTCAACTAAAGAATCATGTTTATTTATTAGAAAAGCAGTACAGTATACGCACACAAAACGAACGGAAGACTTCTGATAAAGCGAGAGGTATGATAATGACCAAATAAAACGACCAATCATCGCAAGCATTCAATACATTTCTTTATTTGTTTTTGAAAATTGTTCACGACTTATATTTTTCACGCATAAAATTCCATGACTTTTTGTATGTATGCATTAATCAGAATTTTTCCATTAAAATCGTAATTTGATTTATTTATTTTTTTAATAGTTCAATGTTTTGTTTCAATTAAATTACCATTATGTATAATTATGTAATATTGTATAAGAGATTAAAAATTTACTTGCTGAAATGTAAAATCCATGTTTGACACTAATTAATATTATAATATACGCGCAATAGATTATTTGTTTAAATGGTAGATTATCTTGAATTTCTTTGAATTTGCTTATAGTGGCAGATTCTCTATCTTTCGTTTTCTCTCTCGTTCACAGTTTTCGCATTGACCGGAGCGCAGATTCAAAGTATAATTGTTGCTGAATTATTTTTATTTTGCTTAAAGGTTTTGTTGTTGTTGTTTATAAGAGCAGGAAATATTCTATATTTTACGGCTATAAATCTAAAATGCACGTTACATCGAATTACAACACTTACACAATTACCGACTAAATCAATTCATTGTTTTTTTTTCTTCTCAACTTGTTTTTTTCTTCTCCTTTCATTACCATTAAGATTATATGTATAATTGTAATTGTACTTGTATGTGTATTTCACTGTGTTTATTACATTAATTTTGGTTAATCTTAATTTCAATGTACCTTAGATTTGTTTTTAATGAATTTTCTTTTTATTTTATGTAATTGAATTGAAAACAATTTCTTTTCTCTTCGATGCAAAGAACCTCGATATGAGTGTGCGTCATGTGGTTGTTAGATATTCTTCACTTGACGAACCCTCGAAATAAAGTACTTTTTCATTCTCACACAAATTGCGAATTTAAACCACATTTTTTTTTCAAACTGAATGTCAAACGGTCTCTTTTTTTCTATGTTTCCACCAATCGATTGGCGCCCAAAAAAATAATGATTGTAAAATATCTTCCGATGAAGAAGAAAGAAGGTAAATAACGAAAGAGAAACGGAAAACAAAACGAAACTAAAAACAATGCAAAGCACAAGACGAAAAAAAATAGAAGGAATCAATTATGTTACCAAGGTAACGATTGTGTGTTGCTCAAAATGACTCAATCATCAAACGACTCAGTATTTAAAATGTCTGAAGAATGTCGCCTGGATCTATAAAATCCAACCGCACATGTGAATTAGTCGATGGGTTTCTCTCTTTCAATATAGAATGTATAGGTAGGTATATGCTTGTGGTTATATTTGAAAAATATTGTTCATGTTATGTACAGCGATTTAAATTCGTTCAATGAGAGGTTATGCTTGGTGTCTCTGTGTGTATGACTCTTTTTCTATGCGATCATGTACAAATTATGGAATAAATTTAGTTAGTTAATAAGATTACAATGGGCTGGGTAGATTTCGACATACAATTAAGACCACTAAAAAATCACTTAATTATCGTTAATTGATGCATGGAAATGAGGTTGATTCAAGATAATTTGCATGAAATATTGAATCAACACAAACCGGCCGAATAGTTTTTTCATCAAATCATGCTATGTATTAAAACAAATAACGACAAAATGAGGAAAAAACATGTGCGATTTGATGATAAAATCGCAAAAAAAATTTCCAACAATGTCACATAGGTATATGCGACAAAAATAAACATCGAAAAAACATTTTAAAACTTAAAAAACTCGCTAAAGAAAAACGAAATAAACATATTGAAATAAAGTGTTTGCGTTTGCCCCGGCTCAAAGTTACTTCAAAATTTGAGTCCAAATGTAGTTTTGCTTGGAAAAAATCACTGTCTACGTCGATAGTGATCGAATCGAAACGGTTTTACATGATGTAAATAAAATATATTGTAAGTTGAAAATTTGACACCCATCGATTATTCATGAAGCCATTCACAATGAAAAATGCATTCTAAATCCGAGTGAATGGCATCATTTTCTTTCAACATTTTGCAATGAACGTGCAAGAGACTTGGACAATTCAGTCGAATCGATTTACAAATACCGTTCGATCTCTTTACTTTTCATGAGACCTACTAATGGGTAGTGACTTCGTTCATTGTTCTCATTTTATTAGTGTGTGTTTGTATGTGGAAAAGCATTCGCTGGTTGAAAAGTGTTGCAGGTGTTTCTTGAGAAATGCTACGTTCAGTTTTGCGATGCACTAAAACCATTTGATTTTAAGTGTATTGAAACTACATAAATCTAGTCGTGGTGAACGTCTTTAAGTCAGACTCAACTAGCGTCGTTTTTTTCGCCTCATTTTTTTTTCTTATGTCTTAAAGTTAAGGAATATTTCATTTGCTTGTCGTTTCTATTTCGTGCATCGGAATGAGCATATTTATCATATGCGAATCCCGTGATAAATGTGACACAAAGACTTAGTCTCTAAGAGTTTTCTTTTCATTACATATACAATTAATAGTAAGATTATTATTCGTAGTTATGCATTCGCATTATGATTTTATTTTGTTTTGTTTGTGTTTTGTGTGTTGTATGTTGTGTATTTAATTTATGTCGTTTTCCATTGAAAAATGAAATATTTGGCGAGAATAGATTTTCATCGGAAAAAAAATTGTTGCAATGCGCTCTTTGTTGAAATTTCATAAATTTGGATCGATTTTTCATTCGTGATTTCTTCTACATCTAAAGAATCTGCACTAGAACGCTCTATGTGAGGTCAATAAATATCTTTCGAAAGGAAAATGTTCATAATGAATGAATCGTTCAGCAATGAATTGATTCTTGTAAAAAATAAGCTTTGATTATTTGCAACTAACAGGAATTTCACGAAATTCGCTGCTAATTTTACACTATAAATGGTTCGGTCGAGAGAAGTTGAAACGGAATACAATTGCACAAGAATAATAAAGAGTGAAAATGTGGATAAATCGAAAAAAGTAATAAGTACAAGTGCCCATTTCTCAAATGGCATTCGAAAAATACTTAAAATGGATGATTACTGCTTAATTTTGACAACGGTTTTTCTTCCTCTAACTGTGGCTCTGTTTTTAAATATTCACAAGCATTGAACATTCTTTCACTGGTCTTAAATTCGTTTACGTTGCTCTGTTTTTTTCTTTCTTATTTGATTAAATAAAGAGAAGTGAAATTGCATAGTATCAGCACGAGATCGTTTCCTTTTAGAAGATTGGCTATGGGGACTATTGGTTACGCTGTTGCACTAATCAAAATTAAACTATCTCTATCATGCAAATTTCAATCTAATAGTATCCGTATGTTGCGACGTGAATGAGTGAGTTGTTGTTTTTGTTTTGTTTTTCTTTTCTTACCGTGGCCTTTAAAAGTTTGGGTACCCCATTACCGCTGCTGTGCCAATACTATTGTCTAAAGGTCACTGATGCATCTTCGGACCATGATGCATACCGATGCCAAGGTTTAGATGATGTGGATTGTGGTGCGACTGCTGTGGTGGCCCATGGTTATGGCTACTGTTATTATTGTTATTATTTTGTTGCGACGCCTGACGTTGCGAATTCTTCTTGTTCTTCATGCGCCTGTTCTGGAACCAGATCTTAACCTAACACAAGTGCAATTTTTGAATTCGAAAAAAATAGCCATTTTCAATTTTGGATTTCTTTCTCGATTTTTTTTTTCGAGAAAAATTATATAAATCTCGACTCTAAATCTATTTAATTAACTAAACTACTGTTTTTAACATTTTTAAAACTAATGAATTCTTACCTGTCTTTCGGTCAAATTCAAGTTTCTGGCGAGTTCCCAACGCTTTTGCTTCGAAACATAAGCATTGAAAAGGAATTCCTTTTCCAATTCAAGTGTTTGGAATTTGGAATATGGCTTGCGCTTCTTGCGAACAGTCACTTGACCAGTCCATTCAAGTGCATTGGATGGTGTGCACGAACCAACCGAACCAACGCCAACTGTTGACGGCAGACCTGCACACAAAATTGAAGAAAGAGAAAGAAAGAATGGAAACATTTTTAACATCAACAACTTTATTCATGTGGCTTTGAACAGATATAAGAGAAAAAAGATTATGTAAGAAATTATTTTCGAGAATCCACAACGATATAGAATATTTGTGTCATACATCACGAATTCAGAAAGTCAGCTGATTTTTATAGCTCAATTCTCTTCTTTTTTCATAGTTTGTTTACTATAAAAAAAAGCGTGCTGTAGACATATCTTTCGCACATAGTCAGTGTGAATGAGTGTGTATGTGTGACTAGTTAAAGTTAAAGCGACGACCATAACAACAAAAAGGTCATAAACTCATTTGAAAATGAAAACAATGCCATAAAATCGGCACGTTAACTATATAACCACTGGAAAATGTTCACTATTCGAAATGCTTAAATTCGGTAGTATTTAAATTTTTTATGCTCATTCAAGAAACAGCAGCGCACACAATGACGTATAATCTCTGTTTGTCTGGGTCTTAGTTCCGAAGGAAATGTTGATATTGAAATGTGTAGACAAAATGTATTGTCTGCGATTCGCGGTGATAATAAAAAAAGCGAGCGAATGAACGAAAAAAAGCAACTCACTAGCCAATTTCGAACAAAATCAAAGAGGAGCTATTTTTCTCGCGCTCTCTCTCTCTCTTTTTCTCTCTCTCTGCCATCTGAGAGCAATGGAAATTTAACGAGTGTTTCATTGAGCAATAATGTGGCCATAAAAATTTTACCGTGTATATTTGTTTACATTCTCACAACACCTCAAACATAGCCGGTCATCGTTTACACACGATGCAATAAAATATGCTTTATATGCGCTCTCTCTAATACAAGGACCGTGGAAAGAAGCATCCTCCCAGTTATCGAATATGGGACCACGCGCACATGCTAGCCTCAACGTGCATACAAATATGCACAGACAACGATTTTAGCCACTTATTTTCATGTGAAGATAATCGAAGTTTTTTTTATTCAAATGATGAACGAAGAATCAATTTTGATAGGAAACTTTGACTTAATTTCTTCAATGGTAAACGCTTGCGCCGAAAGTGATTAGATTATGTTAATTGTTTTCTATTAATAGTTTTCAATACAAATATACAAAATTTCGTATCTCAACGCTACGAAGAATGATTAAGAAATAAATATGGTAGAGGACTGCAATGACCTAGAATATTTTTTACTTTACTATGTGTGTACTTCACACTCAGTAATTTCACTTGATCTATCGTTATCTAACACAAAAAACACTCTAAATCTACGGTTGCGGTTTTAAATGAAAGAAAATAGCTATTTGCTAAAATAACTCACCACTGGTTGAGTACGAGTCGTATGAGCGTAGCGACGACGCTGCATAGCTCGGCGAATCGAACGATCCTTGAGTACCACCTTCAACCGATTGACGAGCTGAGTGTCGTTCGTCATTCGTTAAATACGAGGACTGGTCGCGATAGTTCCAATATGGCTTTATGAAAATAACGGAAATAAAACATTTTCATGAAATTAATTGCAGAAAAAATAAAATGAAAAAATGTCCGAGAATATATTATTATTTTCTAAATTTTCGACCAGAAATGTTTAATTTCATTTAGAAAAACATGATTTAAAATTCAAATCCCCATTCTATGAAGTCATTCATATGGTTTAATTTACCTGTGTAAATTGAGGATCCGGATAGCCATAGTAAAGTGGTTTGCGATCCCGATCTAAAATGTACTGTGAATGGTATTGAGTATCATATCCAGCAGCTGATTCATAAGAACTCCATGGATGAGGATGTCGAATAACTGAAGGGTCAGCATCGAATCCTGGACGTTTTGCTGGTATATGCAGTGGGCCTGTTGAACAAATACAAATGATACAACTCAAAATCTCTCAAGCGCTTCTAATTATGTTGAAGCTTAAACTTGCACTCCATATGTTTTAAAGCGAAATTAAATGGAAACTATGAAGGTTGCATTCGGGTTTCATGTTTAATTCATCAATAAAAGCTCGGAGTTAAGTGAATTTAATGTAGTGCATTTGCATCGAGAATTGTTTGTTGTTCGAAAAGTCAAATGATGCAAAAAGTCGGAGCAGGTGAAGCGAATTCAGTAAAATACAGCTGTGCAAAGCCATTTGTAACAAGTAAAAGCAATTAGTGTAATTAAATTTTAACGTGTGCAGAATGGTAGAAAAGGTGCTACTGCTGTTGCTGTTGAAGTGTTTCGAAACGAATTTTAATTTGGTACAAATGACTTCCGACGGAAAATTGAGAACACCACGGGACGGAAGCTTAACAATTAATATTGCAACTGCACTTTACCTGTCGGTTGTGAGCTAACACTGGCAGGTGATTCGCTCGCCGTCGACGACGCCACGATTTGTGTTTGACTGGATGCCACTGTGCTGGATTGGGATTGCGATAGAGTTGAATTATTTGCTGTTTGGTGAGGGGGTGTTGACTGTTGCGACTGTGAATGCAACTGTGATTGTGTTTCAGGTATTTGCTGTGGCTGCTGTGAAACGAGCTGATTGATTTGTTGATGATGATGTAACAAAGGCGGACTGTGTGATCGCAGTGGTGTTCCAGATCCTGTATGGATATCGTCATACACTATAACAACATTGAAAATTGCAAACATATCAGTAAAAAACACTTTTTTCTACTGAATCATTGCAGCATAGAAAAATTGAACCAAGTCGAGTGATGCTGTTTAGTATTCATTTTTGAATCACAAATTCACTCAAATTCGCCCATTTTTACACTGGACTACGGGTCGAACCTCTACTCTAATATTTTTCTTCATTATTTTTTTGAACACTCATTTTCGTTAATTTTTCCAATATTCAAACGTTTTAAAAAAAATTCAATTATTTTTATTGTATTTTCAAAAAAAAAATGCTCATCACCTGTGGAAGCGCCACTAATGGAATGTGAATGTATATTGTGATTTTCCCACCAAGTCTCGGCAGAAACGTGCGAAGACGCTGCCGAGACATTGTGTGGGTCGTAAATCGCGCACGCCAGCGAAATGGTGGAATAAGGATGAGGTGATATCGTGATGTTTATTTATTTGGCACTCGCGTTAAAAAAATATGTTTCTTATTTTTAGTTGGATACAAATTATCCTTAACTTCCGCTGATTTTCTCTCTTTCTCAGTTATTTTGATTTTTAATTTTTTTCTAAAATAATTTACTAAAACGATTTTTTCTGCAGTTTTTTTTTATGATTTGTTTTTTAAACTTTGGTTTGTGTAAACGGTCGAGCCAGTTAAATTTTACTCGATTTTCATACAGAGTCGATGAGATTTTGTTTCATACGTACAAGTCTCACAATGACTAATTTATTCATTAGCGCGTTGTGCGAACGTTAGAAAATTCAAAAGTATCAATCGGCGTGTAATTTCATCGAAATCGCTATGATTTGCCGCTATGGCTTCATTCGTTGCTATTATCGCCACATATGGAATCACGTATGAACAGAAAAAAACTACACCATTCATTAGAATGACAACAAATTGTTCATTATTTTAAGCACTAGATCAATTTAGATTTTAATGGGGTTTTTATTATGACGATTGTTGTACGAAGTGAGTGAATGTGCGCGCGAGACAGGCCAAGAAATACAAAAGCACACACGTTCTCATCTGCACGATAAAATAATGTCGTGTTATTTTAGGTTGAAATTTTTTATTGTCGCACCGCAACATTCGTTTCGACATGGGTCGGTTTCCACACATAGACGGAGAGAGCAAGCGAGCGAGCGACACAGCGGTACGGTATAGAGAGCAGCAGTGGTTCAACACTGGCAATGTATGTATGCGTGTAGTGTGTGAGCGACTGTAGCGAAGAATTCCTTGTCGTTGACAATACGAAGCGCCATATGTGTGTGTACGATAGAACGAATGTTGGCTTATTTTGACTTTAGTTCGTCGTTGCTGTATGTGTGTAATATTTCATGTAGAACTCTATTCGATCTGAATAATGTGGGATTGCGATACGTTTGTATTTTTTTTTCGTCTTCAATTCGAAATGTTATTCGGTTATTGTGTTTTGATTTATGTTTTTATTATTGGCTGTTCGATCCGAGTCAAATTGCAGGATGTTAGAAAAAAATCGGTAAAAACGAGTTCATGAATTAATCAGGCAAAAAATGCAGCAAAACACAACAAGTGTATAGCACAACTTTTGGTATATCCGATAAAAATGCACAGTATTTAAACGAACGAGCGGATTTACACGGATTATTCAACGAACAATTTAATCACAATGACGGAAATCGAATGAGTATTTTCTCCTGAACAATTTCCATTCATTCGCGAGAAAATGTCAATGCACCGCGTTATGTCAAGTTCTTTTGGAATTTTTTCGAAAATCAACTTTAAAATGCACTGAATTTTTTTGTTCCAAATAATTGGCTATTGTTCTAAGACTTCCTTGTTTACTGGCACAAAGAAAAAAAAATTTCATTCTTGTCTATTGACTGTCTTTCGCACAGAAATTCTTTTCCCATATAGAACGTGATAACAGAAAAATAAACTTCAAAATATGTTCAAGTTTTTTCTACATTGACTACTTCATGTGTTGAAACGTTGCATTGATGAAAGCACCAAAGTCACTCGTTTTTCCTCGAACCACTTAGTCGATTTTCCTTCCTTCGCAATATCATTTTAAATTATCATTGAAAAAATATTACACATGAATTTTCCAAATTTTTGTGCTTATCGAAGACACATCAATTTTTTACTTTGAACAGAATAACAAAAAATATTTAAAACGAACAGAAAATTCAACAAAATACAATGTAAACTGATTTAGAGCAAAACAAAAATGATAATTTCATTTGAACGAATTGATTCACTTTATTGCGATTTGAACGGAATACTTTCACCAGAAAAAAATCCACTAATTCAGACCATCAAATATATTTCATAAAATGTTATAAAACACGGAAAAAATATCGAGTAAAGAAAACTGCTGTTGTTGTTGTTGTTGAATTTTTCAGTGTTCTTTCGACGAACGAATGATACTCGAAAAAAAATACGTAAGTGATACGCGATATGCAAAGAAACAGCAGGACAGGGAAAATGTTTTTTGAACGTCTGAATCTCGCGAAGTATTACACTACACTGATTTTTCTTGGACTAGCGAAACCAGCGATTAAAGCGCATAGCGCTATTTTGTGTGTGCCTCTGACTATATGCTACGAATCGAGAGTTCTGCGTTCATGTGCCCAAGTCGCTCTCCGTACATACGAATCACGAAGAGTTGAACAGTAGAGTAGAAACAAATATAACAAACTATACTACAGTGAATGTACACGCACAGAGAGCGAGTGAAAGACAGTTCTGCTTACTATGATTCGAATGCCCGTGTGAGAGTGGTTGTACGCGCGCGTGTACATATTCTCTCGAAAACACCGAAAAAGCGCTTTTTATTGAGTTGTTATCTTTTTTCATTCACATGTTTACCATTTGTGAAAACGGCGTTTGTTTTTGAACTTTTTGCGTTGGCCGTTATACACACAGAAGAGGCTACACAGAGCATATTCGATGCATGCACACAAAACACACAGAGTGTGAGCATAGCATGCGATAATCGAATAGGAAGACGTAGCGGAGAACAAACGTAAATACAATCGAAGAAAGTAGAATCACACTTATTACGTACCGAATTGCATTCACACGGACACATACACACACAGACACATCCTCACAGCTGTATGGCCGCGCTATATAACCGAATTGTATGGTTAGTGTCGACGATTGCGCATTATTCGAAATGCTGATCCATGCGTTGCGTGTGTGTGCGTAAGCGTATTTTATCATAGCAATAGAATCTGATTGAATGAGATGGTGTGTATGTGTTAGTGCATTCGTACAGTGTTCGACAGATACTGTGTGTGCTTTTTATTCGATTTCTCCTTCTACCTCTCTTCTCCGGCTATTCACATCCACGATATTTATTTTTTTCGTTCGACGAAGTTTTCATCGTACACGCAAAGTAATGTCCATCTCGTGTCGAGTTTTTGAATTAAAATTCAATGCAACAAACCAATGCGCGACAGAGATCAATTCAATTGTTCATAGCCGTTTAGTTGGAACAGGAGAAAAAGATAATTTTCTTTGTTATTTTTTTCCTCTGTTACAAACAAAAAATGTCATGAAATGATTGAAATATGAATCGAAAGGTCAATTCCGAATGGCTGATCATTGCCGGTGACAACACAACAGTTTATTATTTTTTTCGAATTTTTTATCGTTTTTTTCTCTTCTCATTGTTTTGCTTTTTTTATTGCTTCGTCTTATGTTTGTTTAGCATCACTCGCTACTATGCCCTGTCTACTGCTTCATTTCACTTATCGATTGTTATTGTTGCTCTGCATCAGACAGCCCATTGTTATTTTCTTTCTTTTTGTCTCTCCATGGAGTTGCCATTTTCACCGTGAAAATGGCTGTTTCTATATACATATTGGCATGTTCTATCATTTTGGAACGTTGTTGTTTTTTTTCTCGATGCTTTGCTTGTCTTGTCGCTCGTTTTCTGGTTCAACGTTATAAATTTCAAGCAGAGATTAAACGCAAAACTCATGCACTTACACCCGAAGAACAGTTTAACAATCACTAAAGAATAGAGAATAAGGGAAAGTGACATATAAAAGGGATAAAATGACGTTCAGGTCGTTCAAGGCGGTCTTCGTTTTTATTGCCTATTATTACAAGGCAATAAAATGATTTGAAAGGTATACGCACATACAATGCACAGCACTGAGAGCGAAGAGAGAAAAAAATGAAGCATAGAGCACAATTGACGCGAAACATGTCTATTTCCAAGAGCAACGACATACAAGCCAGAGATTCAAGATTCAAAGAGAAAATCGAAGTGAAAACATTTGAATAAAATTGAAAGCTGGCTCAGTGATGCGCAAAATTTGTGACTATAAGAAAATAAGTTAACAATTTTCATCGTTGCTTGTCACAGTACACGAATTTTCGGTTGAATAGAGAAATGTGTGTATATATACCTCGAAGATGGGAAAAGTTTTTCAATTAAAATGCTCAAATACCATTGGCGAAACGGAATAAGAAACAAAGAAACACACCGGGCAAACGCAGATGAAATAGATATCAAATGAAGTGAAAGAATTAATGACTCAATTAAAAACAAAATGAAACAAATGAGAGCCAGAAATATTCCTCTTGTTATCCTCTGTCTCTGTGTCGGTTACTACCATTTTTGGCTGTGGTCCGATGTACATCGGTTCAACATAACGTTGGCAGGCTTTTGGGGTCGAACTATTCTACATGCTTGTCCGTAAACTAATCCATAAATTTTATCAAATTAATGTGTTTATTTTTTTTCTCAACATCGTTGCATCGGCCAGATAAATTCACTTTTTTGGGTACGAAAGAACGAAGCGAAGGGTTCTTGCCACAATGTTACAGAAAAGAAACATGTCTGCTCCTCATGACAATAAATTTTCTTGTGTTTTGTTATCTCTGGCTTCTAGTTGCTCTTTAAATAATTAAGAGAGACATTTTGATGTTCTGTGAAAAAAAAACTCAAATCACGAACAAGAAATCTGTTTTTTTCTATACTAACGCTGCTTATACCTGCCAAAGAGAGAATGATCACAGAGAAAAAATGGTTGGAAAAAAAGCTTTGAAAATGCCGATTGAAATGAGAATAATTTTTAAATTATACGTTTCGTTCGGATGAGTTTTTTTCTCTTGCCTTGTGAAGGCAACAAAGCAGCATACCTACCATTGGCATTAATCTAGTCTGTATGATCAAAATGGCTCATCGATACAAATCGAGAAAGAGACAGAATAAATTATCAAGACAAGTTTCGAAAACCGTAGCGATTTACTTTTCGGTATGCTTCCATGAAACACACCAGAACTGGTCTGGGTTTTGGTCTCTTCCTTTACGCTCTCTCTCTCTCTCTCTCTCGTTCTTTCTCTGTTATTTATTTCGTGGCGCATTTGGCTGTCTTCACAGCGAAAAAGGGTCCGTGAGCTATGAGAGCTTATAATTAAGAAATTTTCATTAAATTTATGACGGTTTAATACGAAATACGCAAATGCTCTGAAATATGTCGAGGTGGAAGCGAACGAAACGCCCCGAAAAATTGATGAATGCGTATGATAAGAACACTTTCATCATAATTCCAGAAATGCTGCCGCGCTGCCGTGATACAATCACCACAAACTGATAAATACAATGGCCGTTAGCATTATTTTAATAACGTACAACACTCATCTGATTGTCGAAAGGAAACATTTCAAATGGCATTTTTCGTATTTTCACACTTTATCTAAGATTCTCAGCCCCGCGTAACAATAGTTGGGCCTCAACAAATGCGAATCCCTTATTGGACTACAGTCAAATAAATGCGTGACAGCCACTTGAACGCCAAATATTTAGTGTGATAGAATCACAAACAAAAACATACATCCACCACGCTGCTGTGGAAGCAATAGAGAAAGAGAGTGTATCAAAGATCCATAAAATAAAACGGACCTTTGCCCATTTTCAACATTTCAATTGCGGTATTGAACGTAATAAAAAGGAAAACACTCACTCAAAACAGATTGAAACAATAAATCGTGCACTAGCCATTAAAAATAGCAAGAAAAAGTGCGGGATTGGATGTGAGAGAAATGCGCGCACGTAGAAATACTTTGCAATCATAAACGTAGTAAAAACACTAATTTTTCCTTTCATTGCCCATAAAAATTCGATTGACAACATGCTTAACCGATTTTTTTCCTCGTTCGTTCTTGCCATTGCTCTCGTTTGTAAATATTGCTGGCAATATAACACACGAAAATGTGAGACGACTTCAATGAATAGGAACGAACTAAAATGCCATAAAATTCAGTAGTCGTTTCTCGACGTGAAAAACATATTTCGACTTGTTGGCCTTTTTTGGCTTCGCAACTATTATTCGATGCGATTAATTCGTCTCTCGCTTTCGGCACAACGCCTATTGACCGTGAAAAAAGCCTCTTATTACATTCAAACTACGAAAACTGGCGTATTCAGTGGGGAAAATACAGGCATGGCCGTCAAATTGAGAAATTGTGACACAGGACACGCGCTTTCACTTTTAATTGTTTTTTAAGTGTCGTTGATGCTAATAAATCAAACTCGGTGGCGTTAATTCAAAACAACAATTTTGATTTGATTTCTTTGGAACAAGGTTTTGTTTTAATTGAAGCGATTGATTGGTGCTATTAGATGTTTTTTTCTTCATAATAACCGTACAAATATGTATACCAAATTGCTAAAGTTCCCTTTTATCAATGGTTTTTAGTTCTTTTTGGAGAATAGTGCGATAAGCGATTCAATTTAGAAGCGAAGAAAAATAGGGAGATACCAGATTGGATCTTGGAAAAAATGCTGTGTATTCACAATTTGAAAAGGAAGCCCAAAACAATTATTTGCCATTCGTGTCTTCTGTGGCACATGTGTCATTTCATCTCCACCTATTTTTTATACCATAATCTAGGCTTTTCTTACGTCAACAAAAATTTCCTTCGTACTTTTTTTTCAACCGAAAATTGCTTTTCTATTCCCAAGCTGATCACTGTTTAAATTTCGTGTGTATACACGCGCATTTGTTTCCTTAAATTCATTTTTTCTGCCGTGTGTCTTCGGAGAATTGGTTGTTTTTTTGGGTGATATCAAATGGGAACTGTACAGAAAAAGAGGGTGTTTACGCCACACAACAAATCCAATGGTAGAACGAAAAGAAATCACGTTAGATTTTGTGCACTTTTTTGTGTATGTTTCGTGAATCGTCGAGCCAATTCTTTGGTTGGTCTTTATTTTCCATTGGCGAACATGATTTGCAAGAGCAGCCAAGGGAAATAGTAATAAAAGAAATATGCGCAACGTAGCTCGCATTAAATTTCCCAGCGAGAATTCCCGCCATTAAGAAAACACAACATGAAAAAGGCGAAAAGAAAAGAAGAATGAAGAAAGAAGAAAAAAAAATGAAAAACGGAATTCATTTCGAGCGCTACTTTTTTCCGTCGTAATGAAACTTTGACTCATTTTTAAAAATATTCAGGCGAATTAAAAGTTAATTAGTTCCTACTGGATTTCGCTCGGTTACGGTTGAATATCATTATTTCTATTTTCTTTCTTTTAAGTGTTTTCTTTATTCGTTGAAGAAAAATATTCAAGTGAGAGAATCGTTTAAATGAGATCAAAAATGAACACCTACCGTACGACGAGCCGCTAAAATTTCCGTATCCTCTGTAGAGCTGAAATCAAGATCGAAAATTATTCGAATTATCTTTAATGGAGGCGAACACGCGCTAGACAAACAACACAAATGTTACTTAGTATATATGTGGAATTGAACGCCAACGTTCGATGTTGACTGAGTTGTTTCTCGGAAAATCGAGTGAAGTTTCAATCGATTGTGCTTGGTTTGCCGTTTGCTTCAATTAACTTAATTCAACAAAGTGTTGACCAATGCCATAAATTCCAATCAGACAAGACATTATGAAATTGATTTGCAGAATTGCTATCAATCTATTACGTTATGGAAAACACACACATGTTACTTCCATTCAACTTTATTGTTTGTTTTGCGATTTTGTTCTGCACTTTGCTTCGTGTTCTACCATTTAATCCAATTCCATAGACTTTCGGGCACGCACAAACTCACAAATCAAACAATGAACCGCAAACTTGAAGCCGAAACCAAAATGTAGTGTCGCGTGTGTTGAAACTAATAATTTTTGATTGGCAAAAATTTATAATGTTTGTTTTTATTCTTAGTGCACAAAATCTCATCGGCTAGAGCTCAACATTAGCCCCTCGGAGTACTGAGTTGCACGACAAAATATAAAATGGCGGCGAAAAAAATCATAAAATAACAATTTATTCCAGAGAATATAGTTATTCGTTTGAATGTATCGGAGTTTTTCATCATCATTGAAACTAGAAAATAAAATGTAAATTTTGTTCAGTAGCCGGTAATGGAGTTTTTTATGGATCTTTTTTAAATTATTTATTCTTGACACACATTCGTGCTTTTGTAATATTTTATGACAATGGAAAATTGTACGCTAAGTGCAGCCGAGACGATGTATTGAGAAGGGAGAAAATGGAAATGGAAACGAAGAGCGAGAGAGAATGAGAATGCGAGTGTGCAAAACAGCGATGAGAAAAAGCACACTTCAATTTGTGTGCTAATGCAATGTTATCCTTAAAATGGCCTAGGGTGCAAAAATAACAACATAAGATGCAAACTGATGAAGAGAACAAACATCTAAAATATTTCGCGCACACAAAGCAAATGTATGCTTGAAATGCGGATCATTTTGTCGTACGCCGAACGAAACATACAAAAAAAACATTTTATTTTTTTCTGTAATCCTCGGCTAGAATAACATGGAATGTCGGCAAATGTACTGTGAATAATGTATATTATGTGAATCACATTTTAAAAAGAAGAATGAACGCACTTTGAGAAGGGCCCCGGTCAAATCTTCCGCATCGAAATACGACAGTGTTTTTATTTACAAATTTTGCCAACAAATGTTCATGTAGAATAACATAAATCAACGCGATATATTCGTTTCGGAAAAAGGATGCAATGGGTTTTTATTTTCATGAATTTGGGGAGAATCATTCAACTTCGTGCAGTTGAATCGCAGAATTCTGAATTTAAAAGACAGAACTTGGTCTGAATTGGTTTTGGAAAACCGATTGAAATGTGTTGACATTGTTGTTAAGATGAAAACTTAGTTACAAAATGGACACATTTGAAAGAAATTTTACTTACTTTTGGAATAATTACTGAACTTGGGAACTTATAAGCAGAGCTGAAGCAACCGTCGTTAGCACTTTCTAGAAGAAAATAAAGAAGAAATCAAAATTAAAATCTAAACTAAATTGAATGTTTCTTTTCTGAATCGCCCAAAATAAATTGAAAACGAATTGAAACTAAGGAAAAAAGAGTTGCTCACACATTTTGTTGTATTTTAACATTAAAATATAATAAAATGCCAATAAAAATTAATGTTAATGCATTGTAATGAGCAATCAAATATGAACATAAAAATGGTACTAAATTGTTACTTAAATACCGCAAAACAAACAATCTGTACTTGAGTGGCGTTTAAAATACATTGCCTTTATCTGCAATATCGTTTAGTTTGAATTCGACGTGTTTTTTTTTAATTTGTCACTTGTTTTTCACGCGTAAATGATATTTAATTACAGTTCAATTAGCAAAAAGAAATTTAATTGCGCTCACAATGACGGTCTAAACATCATGCACGCTCGGTCTCGGTCGCAACTGTCAGATGAACTCAAACTTTTAATGATCGAATAAAACAGGTAGCACTTGATGAAAATGAAATTCTGAATCATTTCATTATCTCCTAATGATTTTCGCATTTAAAAAATTATATAATTTATTATCTAACGCAACAGAAATAGAATGCCTACAGACACAAGGTGATAAAAAGAATATAGTTCTGACCAGCCTCTGTCTCTCAGCTAACAGTCTACGCGAAACGATTCTATGCGAATGGTGCGACATAAATAGTTTTCAAGCGGAGATTTGGGATTTGAAGAGAAAACATATTAACAGAGTCAAATTCCAGACCGACTCCATGTTTGTTTTAATTTTGGGATGGTAAATGCTAAAATCGGGAAAACGGATCCGGCATCTACACAATAAATGTTTCAACTTTCTATTTTCGCTTCCTCTACACCCAAACACATGGTAAAACGAGAAAACTTTTTTTTCCAAACATTGCCGACAAATATCACGTTTAACTGTTATCTCGGGACTCGAAAAGGGATGAGCTGCTCTTGAAAATACCAAAAGTTCAGATGTTTCTTTGAAAATATGATCTTTTGAAATAAAAAAAAGACACTTTAATTGCCGCAACGAGCAGATATGTTCGGCAGCGACGTGTGTTGCAAGACATCGAACATCTTTCATGGCGTCTTGTTTTCAGTTTTGATTTCCATAAAATGTGTTGAATTTCGAATAGAGCCGGAGAAAATTGAAGCGCTCGAATGCTTAGGATGAAAGTAATCCAGGCATTATAATTCCACGAAAATTGCTCTTATCTTCTCTCATTGGATACATGTCCATCATGTAGCTAGATGCAGCAGTCGATGGTGGAAAAAAACATGCCAGTCACGTAGACATCGTATAAAATGTATGCATTCGTGTGACATTTTAATTTGGTTGCAGCATGTAGACTAAATGATGCGCAGAGCATGAAAAGCTGTTCGAAACTTTTTCTCGTTTTCTGTTGAAATGCTCGGTTTGTGTTGTGCACATTCATACACAGTCAAAGAGTTCATAGAGTGAACAAACAAAGAACAACTCCGCAGGACATCAAAATGTAACGAAAATATTGACCCAAAAAACGTTTTCGGTTTGTCTCCATTCGTTTGGCAGAGAAATTGAAATATTGCGGTTTCAATCGAATAAATCAACTGCTAGACGACACTTTTTTCACATTTGTTGAACGATTTATGGTTTCACTTACTTGAAGTTCAAGCGCTAATTTTCGGAAAACCGTTAGCTTCCAAATTGTCAATGTAAAACTGAATTTATTGAACAAAACATCAATAAAATTGCACTCAAATCATTTCAAACACAATCGATGACTGTCATCAACCCAACCACTTCAATTCGTTATTGCAACTAACGTTCCTGTTTCGATACATTTTTATGGCTTGCAACGAATATCGTTGAAGGCGCCACTTGAACCTTTGAAGCAATCAACACTTTCTCAATAACGTCCGTAGTGGAAACGTAAATAATAATTGAATTGTCGTCGGGAAGCGTGTAACAAAAAACACGATTAATGAATTTTTCGCTATGGACTGTCACTTTGACACACAAAATACGATCGGGTTTTGAACAGCCGAACTTCAGCGGCGTTATAAATGATTTGCTGTCGAAAAGACGCCACAGAAAACAATAACGATCCGCGTCGAAAATGAAGCCGAGAAAACCTGACGAAAATTAAATTTAAAACGCAAGCCGTCGAGTACGGCCACAAGGTATGCAAATGAAACTTAACTCTCTCGCTACACACTTGAAAAGCCCGGCTTCTTTCACTGAGACGCAAGAGACACAAAAACAGCGTATTATTAGAAAATAGAAAAGCATACCGAATAAACGCGGTGTGTGCACGACCACACTAAAATCAAATCAACAAAATTCAACAAAGAGAATTTTTAAGTGCGTTCGCTTAATGCCTCGCACCAAATGACGATGGCGTGTGTGCGTTTTTGAAACAAATAAATGAAGAGACAGACAAACACAAAAAGTGAAGAGTAGTAATCTTTGTTGCAGCACACAGCAAGCACTCTTCAATTACAATGCAAACGAATCAACGAAACGCCTAACGAAAAGTTGCTGGGTAGTTTAGGATGAAATTCATTTTAATTGGAAATGCGTTTTGTTTTCATTTTCTTTCTTCAAAATTATAACCAGTAGACATGTCGCGTGTCTTCTCATCACAGTCCATTAACTGCGGCCCGAATGCTAAACACAAAATTTTACGTAACAGCCAACAACCAACGATTCAGTGGCATGAAAAATGGCGGAGAATCACACAATCAGCAGCCGCTACAAGAGCAGCCCCATCGAATTGACGCATTTTATTATCTGCAATTAGAAGTCATTAACTTGCTTTAATCATGTGCGATTTTCTTGGTTGCTGTTCAAACAGCAATTATGGAAATGAGCAAGGAACTGGTTTCGTCGAGCGTATTTGAGAGAAGGGTAGATCGATGACAAATTATTCGAGATGGCAAAATCCAGAAATCTGGACGTTTATTTACATTGATATTTTCTGTTTACAGCGGTTCAGAGAAAGAAACAAAAAAGAGATGAAAGGAAATTGGTTCGTCCAAACCTTCTTTGAATAATGCAACGTGTGTTTGGACGGTCATTTTTTCTTTCATTCTCTTTGTTTACTTTTTCCAGTGCAGAGAACAATGTCTAATTGTAAAGCAAACAGCACGGTGTGTGACACATTGAGTCAAAGAAAATGAAGCATCGTAAATTTGTCGACTCAATGTTTTGCTCTGATTTTTTTTCTTCGCTTCTTCCGAATTGTGTCGGCTCTTCGGCTGTTCGGCTGTTCGGGTGATGTTATTCAGAGCCAGAAACAGTTTTCTTTTGTGTGTTTCATTTGAGATGGAAAAAAATGGCTTTTGTTTGACTGCTCTCGCTACCATTTTTAATGGTCTTATCCCATGGATTGTGTACATAGCAAAGAATAACTTTACTCTAGATGAATATAAATAGATAAAGTTTTGCCCGACAAGAGCCGACATAACGGCGAAAATATAAAACACGAGCAAAGAAAGCAATATCAAACAGAGAAATGATGTATGGAATGGAAAATAAAGTCGAAAAAAAAACTCAACAACGACCATGACAACGATGCTGTGATGGAAAAAACCCCTTTTCTGGTAAGCTGAAGGCTTATGCGACAGAGCAAACAGAAAACTCGTCTTCGGCATTGATCTGAGCGCACGAAGTCATGTAATATACATAAGGCGTATAATTTCAATTCGACCGTATGCAAGAAAAATAAATAACATTGACGAGAAAGATAGAGCAAAAAAAGTTGGAATGATCCACATTTCCATTATAATGCTGACAGGCTCTCACACTACATTTACTTTTGCTCGTTTTTTTTCCAAGGCGTTCGTTTATCGTAACTTGAAGTCCTCTATAGTGCAGCTGCTAGGCGAAAAATTGTGTTTTTGCTTGGCGAAAGGAAATCGAGTCACAATGCCGAATGCCGCTGCCGAATCAGAAAAATGTAATTGTGTCGTTTATCTTTTCTCTCTCCATCTCTTTCTTTGGTTGAATTGCTTGATACAGTTTTAGCATTCGTCGTAGTCGGTATAAATGCTTTTATCTAAAATGCCTTGTATCTGGCTCCCTTTTTGCTCGACTTCTATTCTGATTACAGCATTTTTATTTGAAAATTCGTTGTTGTTGTTTTTGCTGCCGTTGTTTACTTTCCCTTTTTCCCCGTTCTCTCGATTTAAGTTTTCTATGCTACACATTCACTTACAGTTTGTGTGCGACTGTGCGTTTTTTTTCGTTTGTCAATTAAATGAAGCAGAATAAACTCGTTTTTTTGGGTGTTGTAAAGGAACATTACATGGATAAATGGGAATATCGTAAAACGTTGAGACAATGGCGCCAAAATCCTATCTATGAAAATAGATTCCATTTTATATCGCCGGCAGTAGCGAGGAGGGTATTTCGCAGCTACGCTCCAAAGGTACATGGTAAAAAGGCTTTTAATAAAAGTGAAACAATTTGGATGGGGGATGGTTCTTGAAGAAAATTCACGATGGAATTTTCATCCTAATTAAATATTTGCTTCGGCTTCTTGAAAGCGAAGGTTCAACACCCGGGGCAAAATTACGAAGATTTTTTTCCTCTGATTTTGAGTTCTTTTAAAATTTTCATTCGAATTTCTGCATTTCTAAACAGAGAATGGCGAATATTGCGAACAGAAGCCTCTGGTTCCAAAAACAGAATATTCCACGGGCAAAATATTTGTGTTTCAACAAGACAAAATAATCGTATTCTGCGATATCATACGTATACAACGTACGTCCATTGAAATATTCAATGCACATCATGGCTTCGAATGTAATGTGATGAACGATGACACTTATCCCACTACTACATCTATACAGCATTTATATTATCTCGCCATATGTATGCGCATGCCATCGCTGTTGATGCTCACTGTATGGACCCAGTCAGTGGAAGCGAACGCAGTGGAATGGAATAAACGAAACAAGTGCAAAAGAGACGAGAAAAACATGGATTCATGTAC